TATATATATATATATATGTATCACAGACACACACACACACACATTTAACTTTTAGCAACTTTTAGCATACATGAATACATGTAAAGGTACAAAGTATAGTCATTCATGAATCATATGCCAAGATATATAAATATTGATTGTCAAGATATATAAATATTATCCATATTTGAATCGGGAGTCAACTCATTCACATTGAGACTCATTTCAAATTCAGCCAATATATTGACATAATGGTGGAAAATTATACCCTCAACTATTATATCTCAGATAAGTGCAGACCTTAGGCTAATCTTGCGTAATCATTGGGCTTATCTTGCACAACACTAAACAGAGATCCACTTGTCCTCTGATTTCCTTTGACCTGCTGGAGCTCTTAGCCTCTCGATTTCTTTTCTAGCTTCCCCCTCCTTCTGAAACGCAGCATTTGAGTGTTTAGGGCTCTGCAAAATAACATATATTAGATTTTTTATTGAGTGTTTAGAGCTCTTAGCCTCTATATTTACTTATGTACCTTTAAGTCTATCTACACTTTTGTCATTCTACTGTCTATATAAATAAATATATTTGTACTCATAATTTATGAAAGATTAATATAGAGATAAACTCTTGCTCTTATCTTTCTTTAGGCTTTATTCCTATTTCTTTTCTTGTTCTCTTCTAAGTTGAAATCAGAGATAAATATTCCCAATGCTTTAAAATTCGTAATGTCTCAAATCATAAATGAGACAGAAAGATGTTTGACTCAAGACAACTACGAGGTATGGAGAGCTCTACTATCAAAATTATTAAAAATAAATGGATTCGATTCTTTCTTGGATGTTCAATATCAATCACCTCCTAGATTTCTTTCAGATAATACTGGAACAGTAACTGAGAATCAAGAACACATTACTTGACAAATGATAAACAACAACATGACAACAATTTTCTTTCCTACTATTTCCCCTTGAATTCTTCTCTATATCCTGCATCTAAATACAATTGTCGGCATATGGTAGACATTGAAAAAGAGATTTCAAGCATCAATAGATCCTCTGTCATTCAGTTAAAAATGAACTCTACAATATTACGATGGGGTCAAACAATTGTCAGCATTCGACATATGGTACTCACACCACACTCTGTGAATCTACAAAACTTTGAATCATACAAGGGGCCTGAACAAGTGATAGTAGGAAATGGACAAAGTTCTGATATAACATATGTTGGTAATGGGATATTACCGACCGTAGATCGAAAGTTAACTCTCTCTACACTTTTGTCATTCTACTGTCTATATAAATAAATATATTTGTACTCATAATTTATGAAAGATTAATATAGAGATAAACTCTTGCTCTTATCTTTCTTTAGGCTTTATTCCTATTTCTTTTCTTGTTCTCTTCTAAGTTGAAATCAGAGATAAATATTCCCAATGCTTTAAAATTCGTAATGTCTCAAATCATAAATGAGACAGAAAGATGTTTGACTCAAGACAACTACGAGGTATGGAGAGCTCTACTATCAAAATTATTAAAAATAAATGGATTCGATTCTTTCTTGGATGTTCAATATCAATCACCTCCTAGATTTCTTTCAGATAATACTGGAACAGTAACTGAGAATCAAGAACACATTACTTGACAAATGATAAACAACAACATGACAACAATTTTCTTTCCTACTATTTCCCCTTGAATTCTTCTCTATATCCTGCATCTAAATACAATTGTCGGCATATGGTAGACATTGAAAAAGAGATTTCAAGCATCAATAGATCCCCTGTCATTCAGTTAAAAATGAACTCTACAATATTACGATGGGGTCAAACAATTGTCAGCATTCGACATATGGTACTCACACCACACTCTGTGAATCTACAAAACTTTGAATCATACAAGGGGCCTGAACAAGTGATAGTAGGAAATGGACAAAGTTCTGATATAACATATGTTGGTAATGGGATATTACCGACCGTAGATCGAAAGTTAACTCTCTCTACACTTTTGTCATTCTACTGTCTATATAAATAAATATATTTGTACTCATAATTTATGAAAGATTAATATAGAGATAAACTCTTGCTCTTATCTTTCTTTAGGCTTTATTCCTATTTCTTTTCTTGTTCTCTTCTAAGTTGAAATCAGAGATAAATATTCCCAATGCTTTAAAATTCGTAATGTCTCAAATCATAAATGAGACAGAAAGATGTTTGACTCAAGACAACTACCAGGTATGGAAAGCTCTACTATCAAAATTATTAAATTAGCTAAAGATAACTACTGTATTATTTTCTTTAACGCTAACAAGTTTATGATTCAGGACCTATAACCAAAAAAGCTCTTCTAGTTGGTCAAGCTGATCAAGGGCTTTACCCCATCACAGCGTTAAACTCCACTATAAGCTCGCATATTCGACATCAAAGACTCGGGTTCTCTCTCTTAACATTTCTTCATGTAATATACAATGTACTGATTGTTACCAAAATATGAGTCAAAAATTGACTTTCAATATTAACACCACTACTTATCAAAAAAATTTAAATGATGGCTTCTAAAACTTAGGGATCATTCCCCCTTCCTTCTATAGATGGTTACAAATATTATGTTGTATATGTGGATATTTTTTCTAGAT